ATTATAATTGGCCAATTCTGCAAGAGAAGGCCCCACCCCCACCCCCACCAGAGCAGGCATCTCCTCCGGGAAGCATAGGATAGGGTACATGTGTCAAGAGGTGGGCCAATGGGAGGATGGCATATTCCAAACCCTCCACCAGTCCACCAGTGGGAGAGTGATGTTCCTGCCCTCTCCAACTGCCTCAGCAGAGCTGTCTCGTCCTCGTGCCTTTGCAGTTTGACACTTTCCGTCTCTCCTGTCTCCCCTCAAAGACGCATAAGGGGTGCAGGATGGCAGGCTCCCTACATCCCTCGTGGGACTTCCCCTCTCCTCCCTTCCCTGGAGTGGACAGGAGAGGCGTCTTTTCAAGAAGAAAATAACATATATGTAAATATGTTTTCAGGGTTCATTTTTTTAAATGAGATAATGTTTTGTATTTTTTTTCTTTTTAAAGAAATATTACTTTTAAATTTCAAATCTTTACAATTTGAACATTCCTCATCCTATTTTTTGAGTTCTGGGTGTCAGTCTCCTTCTCTAGCCTCCACCTTGCCCCTCAGAGGTGAGGACCTAGGAGAAGGGAGAGGTGCCACGAAGAGCTTGGGGTGGGGGGCAGAGGATGGAATGACCCGGGTAGAGTTAAGGGAAAACTAGGCACATCATCACGGTTGAAGGAGAAAGAGAAGGATTTTTTTTAATTTCTTTTTTTTAAAGATTTTATTTATTTATTTTCAGAGAGGGAAGGGAGGGAGAAAGAGAGAGAGAAACATCAATGTGCGGTTGCTGGGGGTCGTGGCCTGCAACCCAGGCATGTGCCCTGACTGGGAATCGAACCTGCGACACTTTGGTTTGCAGCCCACGCTCAATCCACTGAGCCACACCAGCCAGGGCTGAGAAGGCATTTTTTTTTTTAAGATTTTATTTATTTATTTTTAGAAAGAGGGAAAGGGAGGGAGAAAGAGAGGGAGAGATATATCAATGTGTGGTTGCCTCTCATGTGCCCCCTACTGGGGACCTGGCCTGCAACACAGGCATGTGCCTGACTGGGAACCAAACCAGCTACCCTTTGGTTCACAGGCCGGCGCTCAATCCACTGAGTCACACCAGCCAGGGCAAAGAAAGAGAAGGAATTTTAAGGTGTGATATGGACTAGGAGGTGTAGACCAGCTTCAGGGGTTACAGGAAATGAAATTATTGTACTTGGGTTGATAAAGAAGAAAAAAAAAGATGTCCAGTTGCCTTCGACAAGGGTTATTTAAAGTACAACAAGGATCCCAGAGAGATTGGGAAAGAGCTATGGCTTTTAATGGTTACAGATGGATGGATCACACCGAGCTATTGGGATGAGTGGGGTACCTGAGTCTGAGGACACTGTGCTAAGGTGTTCTCATGGCCATCTTTTCTCACTTCCTCTACCCCAGCAGGCATGACCCTGCTCTTTGTAGTGGGCTGCATCTTCTTCCCATTGATCTTTGTTCTCCTCTGCTGGGGCCTACAGAACCACTCCAACCTGAAGATGGAGAGACCGGAGGCTGTCTTGGTGGCATCCAAGTAAGAGGACAGGGTGAGGGCATTCTTCCTGGGGCCAAGGCTGGTGGAGCTGGTCTCCTACTTTCAGGAGGAGTTAGTGGTGAGAGCAGCAGCGCGTGTGTGCATGCATGCGTGTATGTGGTGGTGGCGGATGGCAGGAGATTCAATAGTCAAAAGACACTGGCTGCAGAATATTTTGCAAGTCATATAGCATCTCTGAACTTTGGAGCCCTCATCTGTAAATTAATTTTAATAAGAATGTCCCCTTCCATTCTTTATGGAGATGTGTGAAGGTCAGGCGAATTCATGTTTATAAAGTAGGTGTTGCAACCTCCTGCAAATAACACAAGGGACTTCGTTGGGACTTCGTGAGTTGGAGGACTTGTGCTCATCCCACAAAATGTGGGCAGAAGCTGCTCAGACCTGGTGAAATATTTTGGAGTTAGAATGTGGGCCCAATGTTGTCTGATCTGATTCTCTTTTCTTCTTCTTTTCTTCCTTTTTTTAAAAAGATTTTATTTATTTATCCCCAGAGAGGGAAGGGAGGGAGAAAGAGAGAGAGAGAGAAACATCAACGTGCGGTTGCTGGGGGTCATGACCTGCAACCCAGGTATGTACCCTGACTGGGAATCAAACCTGCGACATTTTGGTTCACAGCCCACGTTCAGTCCACTGAGCTACACCAGCCAGGGCTATGATTCTCTCTTCTTTAAAAAAAAAAGATTTTATTTATTTATTTTTAGAGAGAAGGGAAGAGGAGGAAAATGAGAGGGAGAGAAACATCGATGTGTGAGAGAAAGAAACATCCATCTGTTGCCTCTCACACACCCCCAAAGGGAACCTGGTCTGCAACCCAGGCATGTGCCCTGACTGGGAATTGAACCATTTGCACTCAATCCACTGAGCCACACCAGCCAGGGCTCGATTCTTTTTTGAAAGAAGTTGAACTTTTAGGTGAAATCTCTTACTTTTCAAACACTGACAAATAATTTAGAATCTAAGAAATTACCATATTGCATCAGCATTCTGTCCAAACAAAACATGTTTGTAGGCTGAATTGGGCCCTTGTGCTGCAAATTTATGACCTATTTTACAAAGCTTAATGTACATGTGAGCTATCATCAAACAGTAGGTGAGAGAGGAAGAGGGCAGCAGGGTGGAGTTTACCTGAGTGATTGGGTGAGTTCCTGGAAGACAAAAGCTGTCTCTGCCTACTTCGGCCCATGTCACCCACAGTGAAGCCACAGCTCCTTGACCAGGTCTTTGGTCTTCAATCCAGCAGTCACAGATGCCCGCCCTTGCCAGCCGCCCCTCACCCTGTACCTTTCTGTAGTTTTGCTTTTCATTATCTTTGGAATTATGAAACATGGGTTTGAAGTCCAGCTTTCCCAGTTCTCAGAGCTGTTGTATCTTGGGCAAGATTTTTGTCTTTTGTCTTTTTGAAATCTTTAAGTCTCAGTTTCTTTTTTTTTTAAGATTTTATTTATTTATTTATTTTTAGAGAGGGAAGGGAGGGAGAAAGAGAGAGAGAGAGAGAGAGAGAGAAACATCAATGTGCGGTTGCTGGGGACCGTGGCCTGCAACCCAGGCATGTGCCCTGACTGGGAATTGAACCAGTGACCCCTTGGTTCGCAGCCCGAGCTCAATCCACTGAGCTACGCCAGCCAGGGCAAGTCTCAGTTTCTTACGTGTAAAACAAGGATACTACCATCTGGGAAGATGAAATAAGAATGAACATAAATCACCTTGTCCTGTGCTGAGCACAGAGTTAACAGTTAAAGAAGTTGGGTCCCCTTAAGTGAAGCCCTGAAGGCAGGAAGCTAGGTCCACTATTCTTTCTATAATTGTCCCTAACTCCCGCCCAAGGCCTCTTAGGGTCTGTCCCCACAGATTGTCACTAGAGGGCAGTGTGCAATTGCAAATCTCAGCTCTTTGACCCCGGGAGGGGATGGAGTGGGCTTTGGACAGGCAAAGGCCAATTGTGGAGTTGCTTATTGAGGCATATCTTAGGGCAGGCCTGGAAACCAGAGGTTTGGGTAGCAGGTCCCACGTCATGCAGAAGTCCACAGGACCGTTGAGTTCAGGATGCGAAGGCTGCACAAAAGAGTGAGAAGCAGCACCGAGGCAGAGGCCAGTCTGCTTGTGGCTGGGTTTCTGACCTGCATCGTGACCCCAGCCAAGTCACTAGGCCTTGGTTTCCTTATGGTTGAATGTGGGGCTCAAACCAGACAATCCCAGGTCCTTTCCCACTCAGAAACTTGGCTGTTCTGTGAAGTCATAATAAACGCGGATAAAAGGAGAGTGACCGATGCGCAGGGGAGGTCAGGAGAGACCAGGAAGCTGAAGGACGAGCATCCTAGGCTTTGAGGTGCGTTTGCTGAGAGCCGGCATTCCCACCCTCTTTGAACCCTGCAGCCATTCCAACACATAGTATGGAAGGGTTCCTGCCTCTTATTAACCATGTGTCATTGGGGAGGATCACTGAAAGCCTGGGGACAATTTCTTGACCTGTGAAAAAGGGGCAAGTGCCCTTGCCTCAGTGATGTTACAATAGTTAGACAAAAGTCATGGGACAGTTTGAAGCAGAGTCAGGACCTGAGGCACATATGTACATCTAGGGTTTCCCTCCCTTCCACTGGGCTGCAGTCCATGGGGCTCCCTGAGCCTGAAGGACACTGTGTTGAAGAGTTTTCATCCCCATCCATTCCTTAAATTCATCCTTCGGAAACCAAAAGATGCACCACTTTCTCCTGTTCCCTCCCCCAGGGAATCTTCTATCCCCTGCTGTGCCCCTAAGCTACAGTGAGACCCCCCAACAGGCCACTGAGGGACAAGTGTTGGGAAGCACTGACAGAGGGAGGAATGGCAGGCATTTGCAAAATGCTGGTGGGAAACAGGGTCAGGCCCATCTGGGGGCTCAGAGTCCCCTCTCGCTGGTTAAGGAGTCTTGGGCCACCTTCCCCCACAAGAGGAGAGCCTCCTCTCCCCTAGCCCTCGTCCCCAGCAGCCCCCAGTGCAGCAGCCGCTGTCTCTTTAAGGGCCTCCCCCTCCCTCTTTCTCTGCTCCCCTCATCTCTGTCGCAGCCGCTGCTGTGGCTCAGAGCTGCATGGGGAGCCGCCACTGCAGGTCCGGTTTCTTGGTGTCTGGTCGGTGCCATCATTTCCCCACCCCTCCCCCGCCCTACCCAAGCTGGTGACTTATCCTCCCCATCCCCTCCCCACCGAGGGGGCAGGGAGCTGGGCATGAACTCTCTATAACGCCCCATGCAGCGTCAGTGCCGGGCAGCGGGGACTGTGGCAGCAGCGAGAGGCGGGAGAGCAGTGCTGACCGCTGACCAGTTTCCCGGCTGCTCCTCTGTCTCTCTTCCCCCCTTGCCTTTCAGGGCTGGCACCACAGTCCCACCCCCCACCCCACCCCGCCTCCTCTGGCCCTCCCGCCTCTCCACGTAAGCCCCCCCCACCTGCCTTGTCTCTCCCTCCCCTCCCCCATTCGCATCTTCCTCCTCCTCCAGTACCCTCTCCTTCTCTGTCCTCTTACCATGTCCTCCCCTCCTCATCTGCCTCCCTCCCTCTGGCTGGCTTTCTCTTGCTCCCTTCCTCAGATCCACCCTGTGCCTGGCCTCTCCCCTTTCTTCATCTAATCTGACTCCCTTTCCCCTTCCTCTGGCCTGACTGCCCTGACCCATCCCTTCCTGCCCTGCCCCCTTTGTGCCCCTTTCTCTTTTTCTCTCTCCTTCTCCGGCTTTGCATTTTTCCTCCACCTCTAATTCCCTTCAGCTCAGCCTCCCCGCCCAGGTCTGAGCCAACATGCTGACCCCAATGGTGGCTGGGGGGGTGGTGTTCCCCGGACTCTTCCTCCTCTCCAAGAACACACTCCAGCGGTTGCCCCAGCTGCGCTGGGAGGAGGCCGACGCGGTCATTGTTTCAGCCAGGTAAACTGCATCCCTTCCCTTCAGCCCTTCTCCCCTTCTCCGGCTTTATGGGGAAGAATAGGACCAGGCTTTCCTCGGACCCCTGACCTGGTGGGATCTGGGGCTTCTGAAGTGGTCAGTGGGCTTTACCTCCAAGGTCCCTTCCCTCTCCACTGCCCTACTCTCTGTCCCAAGAGACCGCATCCAAACCTAGCCATCTGGTCTACTCGCATTCAGACTGCTTTTCTCTGCCTTCCTCATTCACCCTCCCACCCTCCAAAACAAGATCAGCATGTGACTAAAACATTCCTACAAGATATTAAAGAACAAGGCAAGGGGCAGAGAGCTGTATATTATTTAGTGCATGTGTTTGGGGCTGTGGGGCGGAGGGGTGAAAGGTAGAACTCCTTACTGCCCTGGAATGAGGGCCAGAGTTGGGGAGGGGAGTGTGGTGGCAGTTAAGAAGACAGTGCAAAAGTGGTCAGAGGAAACTTGGGGTCACTGAGGGGCTAGTTGATGATTGATATGATGACCGGGCAGCTGAGCAGTGCAAGGATAGGCCCAGAGCTTCCCCTTGCCATCCTGTGCTGTCCCCACCCTGCCCCCTCAGGAAGGGGCTTGTGATCAGCCACACATTTCCAGGATCACTTCACTTCAGGATGACCTCCCTGGTGTCCTCCTGGGAGGAAGACACCTCCATGTCCACAACTGAGGGAAGGAAGCTGGCAGCGAGGAATGGGGCGGCAGCTAGGCTAGTCCAGGAGCAAAGATGGGTGAGGAGTGGCCTGAGAGGTGACCAAGTCCAAAGCATGGTGACTGCACAGTAAAGAGGAGAAACCAAGGGGTGTGTCTACTCTGTCTGCCATTGTTCCCTCTTCCTCCCTAGGCTAGTGTCCTCTGTCCAAGCTGTCATGGCCTCCACAGCTGGCTACATCGTCTCCACCTCCTGCAAGCACATCATTGATGACCAGTAAGTGCCACGAGACCCTTTGCTATAGTTGTCGCAGCTTGTGTGTGTGAGCCCTGAGATTTCTAGGGGACTCCTTCAGTGGTCCCCAAGCCTCACTTGGGCCTGAGCATGTTAACTGCAATAGCTGCAACTCCACACCCAGAGATAAGTGGGTCTGTGTCCTGCCCTTGTAGGTCAGAACCAGCAGGAGAAGGAGTAGGGATCAAACAGGGTTCTCAAAGCAGTTCCTGGGCTTCCCAGCCTTTTGCATCCCAAGTCCTGAATGCCATTTCTCCTCTACACCCTTTACACCCTTCAGACCCCATTTGCAACCAGTAGCCAACTAGGTTGCCTTCTTCCTCACGCTGGGCTCAGCCCTCCCCACTCCCCCAATCCAGCGCCAGTCCCATGAACAAGGGAGATGAGAGAAGAAAGATGACACAAACAAGGCCACTAGTGGTGTGTGTGTGTGTGTGTGTGTGTGTGTGTAGAGGTCAAAATTTGGCACTGGCAGCTGCTGCAGTGCCTGGTGCTTGCCAAAAAAGCCAGGAGAAAGGAGAGGGGCCCTGTCCGTGGTGCTGACGGACCATCTCTAGGTGACCCACGGGCTACACTAGAGTTGCCTGTGAGGATGCTGATGACTCCTCAAGCTTCTCTTCTGGCCCCACTCCCCTTCTGTTGTGGCTGTTCAGCCCCAGGGACACTGTCTGGATGAGCCTGGCCTAGAGGCGCCCCTCTTTCCTTGAAGAGGAGCTCCCGCATCTGTGGACTGAGTAGTTGAGTTGTGTCTGTTTAATGCCTAGAGCAGTGCTGGCTCACAGAAAGTGGGTACTTAACTGTTCAGACTCCTGCTTGTGACTTGGCTTCCTCCTGCCCTCTCCCCCTCTTCTCCATCTCTGGGTCCAAAATGAGCCTGGATCCCCACACATTTCCTCCTCTCGCCTCCTTACAGAGGTCACCTTCCAACTCTTACTTCTCCCTCCCCACCCCAGCTCTGTCTGTTCTTTTCCCTCCCCCTTTTAATCTTCAGGTGGGTGAGGAGGATCAAGGTTAATCTAGGAGCAACAGCTGTTCCTGCTTCTGAGCACCTAATTGCTCAGAGAGTGTGTTTGACTTTAAATCTTCACATTGCTGCCCAGGGGCTGGTGTGTGGTCCTGGCCCCCCTATGGTCAGTGGTCCCACTTCCTACAATGTCTGCTACAGCTGGTTCTCCTGGCAATTCCCTGCTCTCACCTCTCTCCAGCTTTTGGACCCCTTTCCACTGTCCTGCCCTCTGTCTCTAAGCTGCTCCTTCTCTCTGTCCCTCCTGGTCACACTTTCCAACATGGGTCTCAGCTTCTCTTTTCCCGAAATCACCCCTCTTAGTGTGGGCTGCCTGTTCCCTCCCAGGCCAGCCTCCCCCCGGGCTTTCATTCTGCTCCCAGCTCAGCGCCCCCATGTGCGCCCGTCTGCTTCCCAGTTGCACTCACTTCTCCTCCAGCAGCTCCTCACATTTGAGCTCAGCTCTTTTTCTGTGTCACATCCTGGCTGACTTTGCTTTTGTCCCTCCACCTAGCTGAGCCAGTTCCCCTGGTCCTGCCTCTTTGACCCCCACCCCCACCCCGCACTGACCTGTCACAGCACTATAGGACTTAAGAGAAAGTGCTCAATGTACTGACTCAAGCAGAAAAATGCAATGTTGCATATTCGTGCACTTTTCATTTTTGTTTACTCTCAAAGTACATATAGAACTTTCTCTGCTCTTGGCTCCTTTTGCTCAGCATTTTCTCCATAGTTCTTGGCTGCACCTGAAAAAACAAGAGATTGGACCACATTCAGGAAGAACAAGAAGCACACGCAGCACCAACTCCCCAACAGGGCCTGACTCTGACACTCGTCTCGAATCTTCCAGGGGACATCGGGGCTGAGAGTGAGGGCTATGGAGCTAGATTTCTCATGTTTATTCATTGGCCAGGGTACCTAGCCTCTCAGTTTCCTCCTCTGTAAAATGGAGGTGATGACCATACCTACTTTTTAAAAGATCTTGGTGGGGGAGTAAATAAGTTTACCCATGTAAAAGATGTAGATTGCTAGAATAGTGCTTGCATGTAATAACTAATCAATGTTAGCCAGTGCGGTCCCTTTCCATCACTCTCAGCCCTTCTGTTATTCGTCCTGACCCCAGCTGTCTTTCCTATCTTGCTGGGCTTGTTTTCTCACTCTATCTCTGCTCTTTGGTCTGTGCTGTCTTTTTATCTCTTTTCCCTTTTTCTCCCACCATACTTGAGTGAGAGAGAGACAGAAAGAGACAGAGAGGAAGAAGGAGGAGGAGGAGGAGGAAGAGGAAGAATATGAATATGAAAAGTGGGTGGGTTTTGAAGCCAGACATTCGGGATTTGACTCTCATCACTACTACACGCCAACTGTGTGGCTGCGTGACTTTGAGCAAGTTTCTCACCTGCTCACCTGGGGTTTCGTCATGTAACTTGAGGGTCCACTTACAGCTCAGGGTTTCTGTGAACAGCACTTGCGATCTGACTCACACGATGCATCCAGCATCAGCCCCAGCACCCGGCAGCCGCTCTATCCGCCTCCTTTCTTTCTGACCACCTCTTTCTCTCCCTGCCCCTCTCTGCCCAATAGACACTGGCTTTCCTCTGCCTACACACAGTTTGCAGTGCCCTACTTCATCTATGATATCTACGCCATGTTTCTCTGTCACTGGCACAAGCACCAGGTCAAGGGGCACGGAGGGGATGAAGGAGGGGCCAGGGCCCCAGACAGCACCTGGGCTGTGGCGCGCGGCTACCTGCACAAGGAGTTCCTCATGGTGCTCCACCACGCAGTCATGGTGCTGGTGTGCTTCCCGCTGTCGGTGGTGAGTCGGGGTGCTGACAGCTGGGGCCCCCATGTCCTGCACATGCCAGCACTCTAAGGGGTTGGGGAGCCGTGGATCCAGGTCCTAGCAGCAGAGCAGGCCTCGGGTGGAGGGTCCCCACGGAGGGTTTACTGAGCACCAGACAGCAAGAGGGTCTGGAGTCAGCCTGGCCTGCTGGGCCATACGCAGCTGTGGAGCTTTGGAGCTGCTGTTGCATGTTTCTGAGCCTCAGTTTTCTCATATGTCTTACCTACAAGGTTGTTAGATACAGCGAGGTCGTGTTCAGACTGTCAGAGTTAAGCATCTCCAAAAGTGACGAGCAGGAGAGTGGGGAGCAAGGGAGTAGGTGCTGCCCTGGAATCCAGGGTGAGGCCAGGGTGCCTCCTTCCTCTCCTCTCAGGTGTGGCGGCAGGGCAAGGGAGATTTCTTTCTCGGCTGCTTGCTGATGGCAGAGGTCAGCACACCCTTCGTCTGCCTTGGCAAGATCCTTATCCAGGTGAGAGGGTACCTGAGGGTATGGGAGCCTGACGGGAGGGCCCAGGAAGACCAGGCAATTTCAGGAACTTTTAGGGAGTTTTTTTAAAGGACAGGCGAAGGGTCAGATCTAGGAAGACTATAGGACGGGGTAGAGGGGAGGCGGGTTCCGGGACCTTTAGCCCAGCGCTGTCAGATAAGGGGAAGGCAAGGAAGTGGGCAGAGGAGGCGGGGCCCAGAGCTGGTCGGGGCGTGGTCAGCGGCGGAGGCACGCCTCCCGCCGCCCCTCACTGGTCTTTGCTTTCTGCCGCGCCCCCTCCGCAGTACAAGCAGCAGCACACACTGCTGCACAAGGTGAACGGGGCCCTGATGCTGCTCAGCTTCCTCTGCTGCCGGGTGCTGCTCTTCCCCTACCTGTACTGGGCCTACGGGCGGCACGCGGGCCTGCCACTGCTCGCCGTGCCCCTCGCCATTCCGGCCCACGTCAACCTGGGCGCCGCGCTGCTGCTTGCCCCCCAGCTCTACTGGTTCTTCCTCATCTGCCGCGGGGCCTGCCGCCTCTTTCGGCCCCGGAGCTCCCCGCCGCCCTCTCCCAGTCAGACCCAGGACTGAGGGTGGAGCCAGGAGATCCTCCCCCACCACACACGCACACCCCGACGGGGACAGGGCTCTGGGACTGCTGTACGGGGGTGGGGAACCAGGGGCCTGAAAACCCCTTGACTGACGAATGGACTCCGAAGAAGTGGGCACAGATTCCCTCAAGGGGCTAAGGGGCAGGGACCAGGTGAAGTGCAAGGCAGGGAGAGAAGGCCTGTTCTCCCCAGGGTGTCTGAGCTGAGGTCAGTGAACCCCTTCCTACACACCCCCTTCTCTGATCCAACCCTGGGGCCGTGGAGTGCGAAGGGCCGAGGAAGGGCCACCACTGCCCACCCACTGAAGGCTCGAGGACTGTGGGGAGATGATGGAGACTCAAGGGAACCGGGCGTCAAAGAATGTGGGGGAGGCCCTGTGGCCAAGGCCTTCCCATACCCCCTGCTGCAAACTCCTCTTAGCTCTCTGACGTCTGGGAGGGAAGGGACACCCTAACTAACCCCCATGGCCTTGCTCAGGGCTGGCTGCCCCCATAGCTCCTCTCCAGGGGAGGCCAGCCTGAGGAATCTTACTTATTTTATTTATTCGCCCAAATTCAGACTAGTCTGTTGGGGTGGGGGGAGGGAGATGGCTGCTATCCCCGGCCTTCCCAGTGCTGAGCAATCCCCGGGCAGGTGAGGGGCACCCAGTTCCTTCCCCCTCAGGCTGCACATCTTGCCCTCAGGCCGTGGCATGTCCCTGGTGCTACAGACCTCTTAAGGCTTCCTCCGGTCTGGGGTCGGGGGACCCTGGGAGGTGCTTTACAGGCCGCTAATAAAGACGATCTGCGTGAACGCCACCATGGCCCTCCTAGCCCAGTTCTTTGGGGCTGGGTGTGGGGTGAGGGGCTGAAGATAGAAATCAAGAGTGACCACGGGGGTAGGGCAGGACTCCCTGGCTGGTCACTGAGCAGTCAGGGAAGAAAAAAGCAAAGACTTTTATTCATCAGCAGGGGAGGAGGGTGAGTCTGGGCACTCAGGGTGGCGTCCAGGGTCCTTGGCTGGCTGGGTCCTCTTTAGGCCCCTTTCTGGAAGCTCCTATAGGACACGGAGGTCAGAGGTGGGAGGCCAACTCTGGGTCCTTTAGCCTCTCCCAAGGCAGGCTGAGGTGGGTGCGGCTGGGGCCTGGAGTGGGGAGGGGCAGGCCTTACATGTGTGTGCAGAACTGGAAAAGGAGGAAGAAGAAGGCCACCACCAGAGAGCCCACCAGAATATGATGGAAGAACCTGGAGTTGGAATCTGCTGGACAAGGAAGGGGGTAAAATGGAGACTCCTCCAGGCACCGGTGGGGAGGAGATCCCTTCTCAAGCTGTTTCATACCTGAGTTAACAAAGATGACAGGTTTCTCTCCAATAAGCTGGGCCAGAGCCAGGAGCCTGGCTTGGTCTGAGTCTGGATAATCAAAGAAGTCAGGTCTGTCTATGAAGAGCGGAGACTCTGCTCCCAGGGTCGGTGTCTTGGCACTCTCCGGGCTGGGCGCTGGGGACCCAGAGCAAAGTCTGTGACAAGAGCCAAGCAGACCTGGGCCCCCCACCCCAAAGGCAGAGGCAGACCCAGGGGCCTGCCAGGTCACTCAGCCTCAGTGTGGCTATGGAGGGGCTTGATTTTGTTTCCGGAACGTCTCAAAGATCAGTTGAGCTCCCCACAAGAAGGACCATGCCAGACAAGGTGGATGGGAGAGGAGTGTGGAGAGCAAAGAGAGAGGCTGAAGCTTGGTGTCCTGGCTGTGAAGGGGGCATTGACCCTTCCTCCCCCCCCAAGCTTTCCCCCTTCCTACCCGTCTCAGGACCACTTCCCACCTGTTTCTGTGGCCCCAAGCCCAAACAGCCACACCCACACCCTCGCCCACTGCCACAGATTCATGACCCCTCCACTCTTGTGACAGGGGTGGTGGCTCTATGATGTCACAGCCTGGAGCCATTGTGATCACACACTCCGGGGTGAGGGGGAAAAGTGCTGGAGCTTGGAACACTTCCACCAACCACCCCAGCATCGGAAGGGAAGAGGTTGGGACCCACGGACCCTCCCATCCTTTGGAATGAACAGTGTGGCAGCACCAGAATTAAGAAACAGGAGGGATTTGGTGGAACTAAGGAATGCTGCATTTGTATAGAAGGCACAGATTTTATTTTTTTTTTGTATAGAAGTTGCGGGGGGGGGGGGACAAGGCTAAACACCTTCAGTTTCCCCTCGACCAATCACAGGAGCATTTACTACTTATGCCAAGTTACTTATTACTATGCCAAGTACTTTGCATAGATCGACTCGCCTAACAGTCCTAACCCTTTGAAGTAGGTACTACTGCCCTCACCATACAGAAGAAGGAACCAAGACACAGATGGGCAAAGTAATGTGGGCAGTGCACACTTCCCAGGGAGTTTATTTTCCTCCATGAGGCTCCTCTGGCCTTGTGACCCCAAATTCAGGGACACAGGTATCTCCCCCATCCCCAAGCCCTTTCTCTGGTGCTCAGCCAAGGATGATCCTGGGGTTAGAAAACAGGGGAAATAACAGGCTTTTCCCACTAGGTGGCAGCAGTGTCCATGCCTGCCTGCTTACCTGTTTTCCCTCTTCTCCCAGGAAGACACAGCTCCCCAACTCCAGGCCCTTCACCACCCTCTTCCTACAAGTTGCATCAGGTGCTTCAGGAGAAGGTGTTGCCAGGGGAATGGCAGGCACCGGGCTTGTCAGAGGAAGCCCCCTGGTCCATCTCTCAAGGCTGCTCGCTCAGTCCTGTACAGAACTTTTACAGGCTCTCCTCTCTGGGTGGTCTTCCCCAAGGGCCATTCTAATTCTCCTTTCTGGTACCCAGTTTTCTCTTATTTGTTACTTCCCAACAGCCACTTTCACCCCTGCAGGCCTGTGTATGCTTCAAAAAGTTAGTTCCCCTCTGATTGGCAGGTAGGAATGTCTGTCACAGGTGTGTCCCGCCTATCCAAGCCCAAGGACACTTCAGGGTCTCCTTGGTTTTATTACATAGATGCCGGTTCATGTGTGAGGTCCCCTGCCCTATGGATGGAGGCTCCCTCATCCACTGGATCCCCATGCCTCATCTCCCCTGCCCGTGTGGACTGCCCACCCATTCTCACAGCAACACTGGGAGTCACTTGCTTTGTTCCGCTTCCTTAACAAGAAAAAAGCCCCGGGGAGAAAAGGGGGAGAGAGGAGGGAAAGTAACACCTTGGGGGCCTCTTGTGGGACTGGCTCATGTGGGCTTCTTCTCCCTACATTTATCTCTTCTAAGAAAGAGGAAACGAGTTACCCAAAGTCACAGGCATGTAAGGGGCAGCAGGGACTCAACCCGGTCCCTGGCTCTGGGCCAGGGCCCTGGCCCCATGTGCAGCTGCTCCTGAGGGCTAGCTGAGAGAAAAGGGGTTCAGAGCCTTTGGCCTTTGGAGCAGATTTTGCAGTTTCCTCAATTGCCTCAAAAGAATACAGCTGCCCTCTCCACGGGAAAAGGCCCTTTTGACTCAAGCAGTGAATTATCCAATCATTTACTCATCCAACTATTAAATAAATGTATTGTGCTCCTACTATACGCTGGGTTCCGCATGTGACTTGGATAGAAATCTCCAGGGCCTGCTGTCTGCTCTTGGGGTGCACAGGGGAGAGAACTTGTGGGTGCACCTCATTACGGTACAGACAGACAACCCCTAAGGGGCTGGCTACACCTGCTGTCTTTGCTTCTTCATGTTGAATGGATTTTTCAACTCCTTTAGACCTGGCTTTGTCCCCACCACTCCACTGAAGCCATTTTTGCCAGGTCCACCGATGACCTCACAGCTTGCCAAACCTAATGGTTACTTGTCTGTTCATTCTGTCTGTCTCTCAGCACCCTGAACCCGCCTCCAGGCTCGGGAGCACACTCACTGATTCTCGGGACTCCTCCTTCCGGAACCAGCTCAGCCTTGGACCTTCTCCTTTCTATCTATACTCTCTCCCTAGGTGATTTCATCCAGTCTCATGGCTTTAAATACCATCTATATGCCGATGACTCACAAATGTATATTTCCAGCCCAGCCCCCTCCTCTGAGCTCCAGACTCCAACTTCCAGCTTCATGCTTCTGTGTGTCCACACACATCTCAGATTCGATAGACCCCAAACGGAGCTCTTGATTCTCCTATCCCAAACCTCCTTTCCATCACAGCAAATGATCTCATGCTTCCTCTAGATACTCTGCTCAACACAAAAGCTCAGGAATCAGGAGATCCTGCCTCATCTCTCTTCTGACAAACCCATTATCAAGACATGCTGGCTCAATTTCCAACATAAATATCAAATCTGTTCACTTCCTCCACCCCCTCCAGTGCTGCCCGCCTTGTCTGAGCCACCCCCACGTCTCACCCAGCTTATTGTAACAGCCTATGGACTGGGTGATCTCCCTGTTCACTCTTCCCCCAGTGAGAACAAACCAGAAAACGCACATCTGCTATTTAAAATCCTCCGGTGGCTTCCTGTGGCTGCTGGTGAATTCTGAACTTCTTACCCTGACCTGGAAGACTTGCCTAGCTCTGTCCACACACTCTCTTTGGCTCTTCCCAGGCTTTCCCTTCCCTGGCACACACCTCTGCCTAGGACACTCTTGCTCCATACTTGACTTACTAAATCCTCCTCATTTTTCAGGTCTCAGCTGAGACAACACTTCCCCTGGGAAGTGCACCTGAGACCCCACACCTTGTGACTGTCGCCCATCACCACATCAATCTCACCGCATGGGACTTGCCTGTGTATTGTCTCTCTCCCTACAAGGCTGTGAAGCCAGAGTTCATTGATCTCAGTCATAGTCTTACCACCACAATATATAGTAAGTGTTTGATAAATATTTATTGACTTAATGGATAGATGAAAAGCCTTTCCACCTCTTGAGAAATCAGGGCTCCGCATTGTCTATTTTCCTCTGCCACACTGCTCTTTGGAAGGTGCTGCTGGGCCTGAGCTAAGTCCCTTAAGAGGACTAAAGTGGAGGATGCAGGACTCTAAGGCTCTTGCCCAGCTGACCCTTTCCTCTCACTGCAGGCCCAGATCTGTTTCTGGTCGAACCCACCAGCTCAGGTCCTGGATGGCATCTCCCTTGTCCCTGTCTCCTTTCTTTTCCTGGAGAGCTCTAAAGCAGGGTTGTCAAACTCATTTTCCCCAGGGGCCACATCCGCCTTGGGGTTGCCTTCAAAGGGCCGAATGCAGAGCTCCTTGCCCCTAGTTAAGGAGTGGTTACATTTATACAGTCCTAAAATTACATTCGGCCCTTTGAAGGCAACCCAGAGGCGGATGTGGCTCCTGGGGAAAATGAGTTTGACACCCCTGCTCTAAAGGAAACCTAATGGTTGCTCTTACTTAAAAAATATGGTCTTTTAATGTTTTTGAATAGGTAGCACATGCCCATGGTACAAAGTTTGAAAGGTGTGAAGTCATATGCATTGAAAAAGAACTCTCTCCTATTCCTGCCTTACCCTGCCTCGCAGCCATGTCCTCAGAGGTCACCATCACTACCACTTTCTTGTGCAGCCTTCCAGAAATAATTTATGCACAAATAAACCTATATATAAACTTTTCCCCCTAACTCAAATGGAAGCGTTCTATACATGCTACTCTGTACCTTACTTTTTTCAGTTGACATGAGATTGTGAAGGTGATTCAGAACAAGTACATAAAGCACCTCTCTTTCTTCGCCATGGCTGCATACTATTTCAGTGCAGGAAGTTGTGTCATTACTGATTTAACCAAACACTTGTGGACATCTAGGTTGTTTCCAATCTTTTGCCATTGCAATAGACCTTGAATTTCTATTATTTTGCTTATGGGCCAGCATATCTATTGGATAAAATCCTAGAAGTGGCATTTCTGCGTCAAACAGTCTACATGTTTGTCATCTTAGTATCTGCTGTCGGACTGGCCTTTGCTCAGGTGCTGCCCACTTACCCACAGCCTCACCAATGTCGTGTGTTACCAGATGCTTTGAGTTTCACCATTTGATAGATGACAAAGGTAATCTCAGTGAAATTTGAGTTTGTATTTCTTTCTTTTTAAAAATGTACATTTGAAGAAACACATCAGAGTATATGGTAACCATTTTCAAGCACACAGCTCACATTGCTGTGCCACCGCATTTCTCTTTTGCATCATGATGTTTCACGGTGCCAGCTTAGTGCCAGGCCCAGCATGAGGCAGCCTCTGCTCCCTGGTGGGGGGGACAGAAAAGTAAGCAGGCATGACAAACCAGTGTCACCAGAGTCACCAGAGCTGAGTCTGAGATAGCACTGGAAGCTGGGGGCAGAAGGGGAATGTTCCAGTAAGGCTCCCAGGAGGAGGTGACTTGGGGCGACCCCTGAAGTAAGAGGAAGTTCCTCCAGGCAAAGCAGATTGTGTGAGCAAAGGTTCAATGGCCTGGGAGATCCAGGTGTGATTAAGGACTGCAAGCAACATTTCTGAGAGCCAGTGTGAGGAGCAGGGTGATGAACTCAGACAAGTCAGGGTCTTGGACTGAGGGGCCTTGGAGACCACTGTGAGGACTTGGGGGATGGCAAGTTAGGGGCAAAGGAGAGCAGAGATCATAGGCTGGGGTTAGACGGCAGGTGTCAGGGTCCAGGAGAGAAAAGGCAGACTGCTGAAGAAAGACTGCAGCGCTCCGGGGCACTCAGTGCGAAGCTGACGCTCCTCTGCACCTGAGGGACAGAACTGGAGGCGGTGGGGGGTGGGGTAAGGGAAGGTAGATTTCCAAAGGGGAAGCCCTCCCTGAGAAAGGGATGCACGCCCTTCGGGGAGGACTGGGTCGCAAGGAGAGACACCTGAACAACCGAAGGGAGGAGGCGTGGGACAGCCACAGCATCGGACCTCTTTCTCCTCCCTCAGGCTGTGAAATTTCCCA